TGCTCCGCCCGAGCAAATTAGCTGCAACGTACATTTCTCAGGTCACTACGTAACTAGGCCCTCCTCACTTGTTGCGAGGCTGCATCAGCCTTTGTTGCCCTGAGATGTAGCACGTAGAGTTGCACTGAAGATTGTCTCTCCTACACTCACTGACGAGCAGAGAGAGTTCTCGAAAGCCAATCTAAGCCCTCATAAAGTCCATCTCCGGTTGAAGCGACAGTAGACTGACAGTACCAGGCACGATTCTGAAGATGCTTCAGTTCCAACTTCTCCACTATCTCTGCCGCAGGCATTGCATAGGGCAAGTCTTGCTTGTTTGCAAGCACAAGGAGGACGGCATCCCGCAACTCATCATGCTGTAGTAGATGCTGCAACTCCTCCTTAGCGTCATTGATGCGGTCCCGGTCAGAGCTGTCAACCACAAATATCAGGCCATCAGTGCCCTGATAGTAAAACCGCCAAAGCTTGCGGATCTTGTCCTGGCCACCTGCACTGCCAGGGTCCTAGCGTCATTCCGGGTGTCCCTGATCATTGTCCTATCAGGAGCACAGCCTATGGGCATGGTTCAGGGGTATCGTGTGTTCGGGTGTGCCTTACTGGTTTGCAAGACAACCTTAAAGAGTCACCTCGGGATGACAGGGCGTTGATAAGACTGATAAGATTTAATGATATTAAGTGACAATTTTTACCCGGTCTCGCCTACATCCCACACGTTGAACTTGATGTTCTTGTACTCCACGGTTTCGACATTGAAACCCACCGTGGGAATGGTGGTCACAACTTCTGCCAGTTTCAACCGGTACAAAATGGTGGTCTTGCCGGCGGCATCAAGTCCAAGCATCAGAATTCGCATCTCCTTGGAGCTCACCATCCGTGCCCAAATCTTGCTGAACAGCAGGCCCATCGTGAAGATGTCAGATATTTCAGGGCTGTGCAACAGACGAAGCTATGGGAAAATGGCAGCAGAATCCATCCTGACATATGAGTAGGCCAAACATGTGCTACAGCAACAGCCCTACTGAAAAGAATTGGGAGTTTAAGCAAAAAATTACTCCGACCCAAACAGCAAAATCCCTGCAGTCTGCAAGTA